AATAAATAAATAAATAAAACCAGGTACCAGTGCTTTCAAAACTGAATGTCTATCTTTCACACATGCACAGCGATAGCAGAATGAAGAGCAATTCAAGCTGGAAGGGAAGGCATAATTCCATCTTTATCCTCCTCTCCACCATGCTACCCATGAGCTCCGGTGATGGTTAATGCAGAAGATCCTCTTTGCAACAAGAAGCTTCTAGTGCTTCTTTCAACTGGAAGTTTGGCTTCTTTGTCACAACTGTTGAACCATTTAGTTAAAGATAACTTTTGAAAGATTCACAGTAGTTTGGAAATGGAAATAAAAAATGCTTGCCCTACATGCAACTCCTCAGCCTTTTTACTCCCACTCCTCTGTACCTCCTAAGGTCTGAAACAAACTATACACAAGGGGATGTAATATACCATTGAAACCTGACACCCACATCTAACAGCCCCAGACACAGTCACATCATTTTGTTCACATACACCCAGAGAAAGAATAACTCTAAAATAAAGGATGGAATGGCTGGGGGTGGGGGTGGGGGGGCAATCCATTACATCACCAGGCTAAATTATACAAAGGTTCCTGCAAAGCTTTAAACCAACATCTCATCTGAACGCAGCAATCCTCCTGAAATTTTTTGAACTATCCTGACAGAACAGTCTATTAATAATGCCTAGGTACTGAGCCCCAAGTGAGCTCTAGAGCAGCCTTCTAGAATTCTTCATCCTTACAAATCTCAGAATACATTCTTGACTGATGAATGCTTTGGGGGCTTGAGGGCTTTATAAATATGAATCAAAGTCTATGTCCAGGTTCTATTAAAATATCCTAACATAAAGAGAAGGCAAGATGGATATTCAAGGCATTGTTTCTTTGAATGGAAAAAATTATTCATAACTAGAAAACATATGCCAATATGTGATACTTATATAATTTATCCAAGTTGCAGAATTCAAAATTATGAACCTAAATAATCTGCACTGTGAATTAAGGAGATTTTTAAATCTTCTACTCTTTTTCTTGACACTCTGTTTTTAACCATGGTCTAATCTAGATTAAACAGTAATTAATCCTTGTCAAAAATTAGTGCAGCAGAAAAGGAAAAGTTTAGGCATCAGAAGAATTTAGTAATTCCAATTTGCAACAGCTATCCAACTGGCTTAAAAAAAAAAACAACTCTTGCTCAAGAGTCTTGGGCTACAATCTAGTACAGATTTGGACACCCTTAATTTGTGTGGATTAATTTAAAATCAAATGAATACTTACTGGAGAGCAAGTCCCATACATATCAGTAAGTTTTATTTCTGAAGAAATGAATAGGATCATATAGTTAATGAAGCTAGCTTTCCCCTGAATTATGACCTTCCTCCTTGGCAATGATTCAAGTACTTTGACAAGGATAGACAGACCTAATTAACTTTAATACTTGTTGAGCACTGAATGAGCCTTGGATGGTGCTCTGCCTCATGCCGAAATAGTACATGGAACCAGTAAGGGAGTTCAGAGCCATTAAGGGAGTTTGGGTGTAAATGTTACCTACTGAAGTTTGTTTTGGGTGCCTTTGAGTCAATGTTGACTCCTGGCGACTACCTGGACAAGTCCCTGCAGCTTTCTTGGCATGATTTCAGAAGGGGTTTGCCATTGTCTGCTTCCTCAGGCTGAGAGAGTGTAACTGGCACAAGGTCACCCAGCTGGCTTCCTGCCTAAGGTGGGACTAGAACTCAGTCTCCCGATTTCTAGTCTGGTGCCTTAACCATGACACCAAACTGGCTCTCTAAACTGAAGTTTAGACTTTCAAATTGTTAATTTAGGGAATTAACCTCTGCTCCAAAAGAAATGTCCTGGAATTTGATTGATTTCTTTTTAACGTTCTCTGGTTTCTGCTCTATTCATTAAGCAGTACATTTTAATCATCAGACCATTACCACACCCAAACTACAGAAAGCCAAACAGTTAGCATAAATCATTAGGTGATTAGCACCTGAAGGGAAAAAATAGCTTTATGCTGTATAAAGAGAATTAAAGCAGAACAAAAAGCAGCGCTGTATTTAATCACCTAAGCAAACTGGCACAATTCACCAACGCTTTCCTGGATCCAGGCCAAGAGCTGATATTCCAAAGAGGAAGCAGGCACGCAGCATCTTTTTAAGTGCCATGATGAAATGCTTTGGCAACCGCTCCACATCCAGATTACGCACACACATACACACACCCCTCTACGAATTATATATCGTGTCTCTCCTGCTTTGATACAAAACCAGGCGATCAGCCAGGTTAGCATTTTTGATCCAACACTATACCTATGTGCACAGAAAGACAGATGCAGACACAGACATACGCAGAGGCACACACACTTAAACCGCGGACGGAAAAATCGATCTTGCACATTTGCTTAAAAGTACAGTTAAACGAGGGGAAGGGAGAGGCAACGAGTCTGGAGAAGACGTTTTTCCAGGCTTAGAGCGCCATCTTTCGTGCAAAAACTTCCCAAAGACCAAACAACCCTAAGAATGGAAAACGCTGGGAATACTTTAAATTTTCCCCCCAGTTACTTTCCTCCTGGAACTCCCACCCTCAAAATATATAAATCTCTATCTCGCACCCTATCAGCGATTCTGTTTATGCTTCTGCTTTCTGTTGTAAGCTTTATGATGATCTTTCTTTCGAAAGGAGAGGGGGGAAAGGATTTCTGTCTTTGCAGTGTTACCCAAACCAAAGCAGACCACGCTCGTTGATCAAAGCCAGAAAACGCATTTTGGAGGCAATTGAAGTATGTCAGTAAGCATCCCTGGCACAAAAACCAAGCCAAATACAATGTAGTGATAAGTAAACGTGCCCCTTCGCTTCAGCAAGCCAACGACTGGACATCCCGAGAAATTTACATATAAGGAGCTGTTGCACAGCCGGAGAAAGGACTGGAGCGTGAGGCAGGGGAAACCGCCTCCCTTGCCAATACAGTGGGAATAGACTTGCATAGTGACTGTGGATAGCTCTTGCGGAATTTACAGGAAAATAACTGCTGGCCCCCCACCAAGCAATCAAACGAAGTAGAGAAAAGTGACATCACACCTGAACCCTCTCTGGAAATGAATTAGCCTCATGCCCACTTTTTGACAGCATCTGTATGAAATTGCATGCAATCGCCAAAGGAGACTTTGGCAGCACCAGCGGGAGAAGTAACCAATTCTGGGCAAACTTCTCGAAGCCAAATAAGCCTTATTCACTGCAAAAACAGTAGGAGAAAACACCTAACGGGAAGACTCCAAGGGCAACCCACGCCTTTATTCTTGCCACCCGCTCCAGATAAACCGCTGTTCTTGGAAGAAAGCAAGGAGAATAAATGCCTATTAATTTCCGATTATTCAGTCTGAACGCACTCCAACAGACACCAGCAAGCACTTTGTGCGTCCAAATGAGATGCCAGATTCCCATGCTCTTAGAGCATCAACCGCAGGAGACCCGACGCGCGCTTTCACACGTGCACCCGCGATCTTGACTCGTCTGCGAATCTCAGACCGCAGGCGCACGTGTGCGTACCGCGTCCACACACCATCGCAGCCGGTGCTGCCCAGACCGCGAAGGTTCGCCGGTGGGAGGCGAGGCGGGATTCCCTTGCTCCGCCGCGCGCACAGACCTTGGAGGGCAGCGCTGGGACTGGCAGGGGTGGAGGCTGCGACGGAGCCCTGCAGCTGGAGCTGGAGGAGAGGCCGGGAACGAGGAGAGCTCCGAACACCTTGGGCAAAGGCGCGGCCAGGACCAGCAGGGGCGTCTGCGGTGAGAGGAGCCGCCGAGCTGGTCGGCTGGCGAGGCTGCGGCTGCGGCTGCGAGGGGTCGCTCCGTCAGGAAAGCCTCGCCTTCACCAAGTGGGAAGAGCCTCTCCCCAATCTTGCTACTTAATAGAGGGCTGTTCCCAAGTCTCCGCGGTTACGAAACGGCGGGAAAGGTGGATCGGTGCCATGGGATGATCTATGACTGTGCTCTTCGCTCCTCTCCAGCAGGGCTAGGGAAGCGCCGATCTCGCCTTCTGGAAAGTTGCGCATACCTCCCCGCATTCCTGAGGCATGAGGAGTCCCGCGCGAGCGCAGGAATTGCCTGGCCCGCCACGGAAGGTCGAGCGGGCGGGGGTGGGGGGAGG